CACAGCAGAAAAAGATGTTCATATACTCTTTTAACTAAAATATGAAGAAATAAATGTAAAGAAGGAATAATGTCAACATATGCAACTATAGAACACATGACCTATATAATAATTACACAAGGCCAAAGAATGTACATGTTTGGTAAATGCAACCAAACATAAGTGAAAGTTCTACTATTAATGGGATAAGACCCACTTTGGGATAAGACCCTATTTCAAGAAGAGAAGGATGATAAACAATTATTTATAAGTACTCTAGAAATACTCTAGAATACCACATTGTAGTTTGGTTTTGAGAGTTTTGAATTCCCTTAAATTCTTATTTTTATCATGGTATGGTGACAAAAACTATAGATATTTACAGTTGTACAGGTGATGTTTTGACACATGTATACACTGTGAAATGGTTAGATTACGCTAATTAAATCACTTCATATGCTTTTTTGTCATGAGAATATTTAAGATCTTAAATTCTAAACTGAAGACAATATTTGATGAGAAAGGGATTGTGTGTAAACTTCAAAATTAAAAAATATAGTGACCTAGGAAATAAAACTTTCTAACTTCAACCCAATTTAAAATAAAATTTCAAAGTCACATGGATTTTTGAGATTTAAAAAAAAAAGTATGTGTAAAACCAAGCCACAAAACAATCTCCTCGTTTAGTAAAATAAATTACTTGTACATATTCAGGATTCCTAGGCCAACAGTTTAAGCAAATTAAAATCTTATTTCTGAAACTTGCATTTGAAAAACGTAAACTGGGTCAAAGGAACTCTAGTGTGGACAAAATGGCGGTGTTTAAAGCAAAAATTTGGCCTATGCAAAAAAAAAAGAAGGCTGCAGTGATGTACACTGGTTGCAGGCAGAGTGGGCTGCTGAGGCCAGTTGTATCTAACAGTTGTGCTCCAAACAACAAATGGTGCATTCATAAACTGCAAAAGCAGAGGCTGTTTAAAGGCTGTCAAGTCTGCACCCGAGATGATGAGCGGCTGACTTTCTTGCTGTTCCACAGTAAAGAAGTAAAAAAAGGACTGAATTCAGTTAGAGGCACATGCTGTCACTTCAGCTGTGGCAAAACGGTCTAGATAAAGAGCCCCCCCAAGTACCATTTACCGGCTTCTAACAGGAGCTGGGCCTAATGATAATTGAATCAACACCTCTACATAAGATAATTCTGCCAGAGCCCACGGGAGGGGAAAGCCCAACTAGAAACAAGAACGTACACATCCCCACACCCTTCTTAGTTTCAAGAAAATATTTAGCAGCCCCAAATCCATAGCCTCAGACCAAGGGAGTGAACATCCATATCCTGATTACTTGTCACACTGCCTCTCCATACATACCCTTAACAAAAGAAACATCTGGTACCAACCAGCTACTCAGCATCCCTGATAACTGTCACAGCTCCAACTTCTTAAAAAATTAATGAGTGGCATTTACACCTGCCAGTGCTGAAGGCCTATCAGGGTTCTAGCACAGGTACAATACCTCACTTAACAGGAAACTCAGGTTTACAGCAAGCAAGAATGAGATGGGAAAATTTCCATATCTATCACTTTATAACTCTTTTGGTAGTGTTTCTCCCCCAGATCTCAGTAGCTCATATGTATTAATTAATATTTGTCTAAAGAGAAGTTTCCAACACAAACGTAAAAGTTACCTGTTTCTAATGCAAAGTTTTGAAGGCTTTATTAGGGCTGGGCCATGCATTAGATTCACCTGCGAAACTTCTCCTAAGGGCCATGCCCTAGCCTTAACCCAGACCTGCTCCATCAGAATTTTCTGGAGTGGGGCTCCAGTGCATGTGCAGTAGGGAGTTTTTCGTTGGCGAAGAATCACTGTTTTTAGAAAATCACCAAAAGTGGCAGAGCAAAAGTGAGACAAGTCCCAAAGTGGAGAGGCGGTGACAAATGAGCCACTGTACTCATGCTGGGGTCCTAGAGTGCCATGCAGTGGGGGAGACCTCAAGAGTCCCTGGCTCAGTGAGCTGGCCCGGGTCACATGACCAAAGACAGGTGCCAGATCAGGGGGCGGGCCTGCCAGGGGACACCACGGACTGTCCCAGGGTAAGATAGGGCACACTCAGCAAGGCACCCGGTGGCAGGCAACCTTTAGCCATCAGGAGCTGTGCTCATGGTTCCTGTTGTCCTCGCTGGTGATGTACTTCAAGTCCAGAACATTAAGAAACTGCATCCCAGCTGAATGGGCTCACTCTTATTATCAACAAACCGACCTGGAGAGAGGGACTTGAAACAGAGGGCAGGTGGGAAAGGACACCGGTGCTCTGCTTTCAGGACAGGGACAGGCGCGGGAACAGCGCATGGTGGGACACGCGTGAGAGCGGGCTCCTGGAGGATGGTTTGGCTGCTCGCTGGCCCTCTGCCCCACTCTCAGAAGGCGGGTCCTCTTAGAAAGGACAGAGTCGTTGCCCAATATTCTGCGGAAAGGGCCGGAAAGGACCTGTAGCCGAAGCTGCCCTCCTCTGGCTCAGCCACCTGGCTGCGGACGCTGCCCTGGTCCCGCTGCTCCCTCCCTCCCCCACACGTCCCCTCTCCTTCCAGGTCTGCACCTCTCTCCTCCTCTTCTAACGGGGCTTAAGAGAGCACTGTCTAGCTACACGTTGTTTTCATTCCAGAACAGCCAAATGTTTTAATGCGGACTTATTCTGCTAAATAAATACCAAATGCGAGTGGCCAAGCTCAACGTCTATGCAAAACTTTCGAAAATTTAAAGTGGGCACAGGCAGAAACCCCTCAAATTAGCCAAAACGGATTTGGGGGATTGGTGGCTCACAGCACACACATTTTCTAAGCTCTCCCTGAGAGGAATTTATCTTTAAAAAAAAAAAAAAAAAAAAAAGCTCAGACGCAAAACGGGTCTTTCAAGAGCTTTGGTTGTTCATTAAGTTGTTGCTTCCGCGGCCACAGGCTGCTGCTATGCCCGTCGCCGGCTGGGGAGAGCGCGTCAAGGTCTCCTGGAAGAGCCCGCGGTGCTCCGCGCGGGGGAAGGCCAGCCGCAAACGCGGCCGCGCCCCGCCCCCGCCGGCAAACCGGCCAATCGGCGCCCGCCTGCCTGACTGACGGCCCCGCTGCCCGCTCACCGGGCGCCCATCGCGCGAGCCCGGACGGGCGGCCTGAACGGGCGCGGCTTCTGCAGAGTCCGGCCAACGCAAGCCGGTCCCCGCCCGCCAGCCCGCCGCCGCACTCGGCAGAGGAGGGAAAAGACAGACCCTTGAGGGCTCTGGGGCGGCGGTTGAGCGCCTTCAGCTGTGCGAACACAAAGCCGCTCAGACCGCGTTCCTGATGCACAACGGCTGCCCGAGCCGAGGCCGGGCTCTGAGGGAAGGCGCCGGCCGTCCTCCTGACGGCCCTCCCCAGGAACCGGGGGAGACTGTTGGCGGCCGGGGCAGCTCTGCCCGTCCGACAGGTCACCGACCCGGGAGCTCGAGGGTGAACCAGCGCGACGCGCATCCTGTCGCGAGCAAACCCGTCCGGAGAGCACTGGAACCAAATCCGCTTTCAAAGCTTTAAACTCAATGCTTCAAGTTTACTGACACCAGCCTAAGAACAATTCTTGTTCCCTCTTAGCAACTTTCCACTTTAGAGTTGGCTGCCAGTCTCCAGGGCAGATCCAGAACCAAAAAGCCAGGCCAGCTGATTAAGTTTATTGCCTCAATGCCTCCTGGACTGGAGGGGCAGGAAGAGGATGATTTTTATTGTCAGTAATTTTTAAAACTTGCATGTCCTTTTCACTAAAAATAAGCACAAATCACGTTCCTATTTTCAAAAATGATGCATACATATAGGCAAAAGTTTTGGAATATTAAATGATACTAGAAACGTACGTGTTTATTCTATCTGCCGGTATTTCATTCTAGCACTTTGTTTACGAGTTACTGTGCTAACTCCAGAAACAAAATTGATTATCACAGGGCAACCTAAATAATCGTTCAGAAAAGGAAAAAAGGAAATCTCTATAAAACTTAAAAAGGTCTTCAGAATCACCATGATAAATGTTCTCTTTGCTCGGACCTTGAGAACCTTTCATCCTAGAAGGAAGCCTGAATAAAAGTGAGATTTTTTTTTTTAATTGACAGGAAAGGAAAAACAATGTTTTAATATCACTTGCCTTACCACTCAGAGCAATTGAACAAATCTGTTTCAGCCTCAGTACATACTTGCCAGGCAAAGTAGCCTGGGGGTAGGCCCACATAATGAGAAGATATTTAAAGTGTAAGCCAGATGTCTTTCCCCTAAATTCTCAATTAAAAAAAAAGAACCTCAACATCCATGTAACCTTGGACTCTCATTTTCATCTGTCTCTTGCAGGACACTCTTTGCTAACTATTCAGCACACTGCAAGCCCAGATAAAAGTAGTTAATGTTTACTGAAACCTGCGCATGAACTGTACTAAACCTGATAGGAGTGAAAAGGCAAAGTTCTGCTAACAGCATCTGCGTACAATAAAGGAGTGGGGGGGGGAGAAGAAATTTTTTTTCTAGTTTAGAGCTAAAATTTCTCACTGATAAAATACAAATTTCCAAACTTTAATGAATTATGTCAATATACATCACCAATGAAAAGATGTTTTAATCTATTTTGTTATCTTTTCAGAAAATTTTTGCCACAAATACACCTCAATGATTTCATAGAATTTTCTAATTTTTGTTTTTTTATGGAACTTAAAAAACTGAAACAAATCTGTCTACATTTCATATTCTCTCAAACTTTTTTGAAGCCCACTGACATCAATAACCAATTAAATTAAACTCTCATGTATTCATCTGAATAGCTGCATATAGGTTATAGCAGAACATTTCATACAAAAATAAATTTCACTTTTTAACAGTTATCATCTACAATATATTTTTCTCCTTGTAAGTCTTTAGTTTTCCAAATTTAAACACAGTTAACTTCACTCTAACCCGATCGTTAATTCTAACATTTCTTACCATTACATTCATTCTATGTATATTGAATTAAAAATCACAACTTACTGATACTGTATTTTCCTCCTATTTCCACACTATCCCATTTTCTCCAATTACCTCAGTTAAAATAAAATTTCAAATTACACACATACACAGACTGTATCCAGAACAGGATGCTCTCAGGTGTTTAAAGCCTACTTTCTCTCCCATCCCCCCCACCTTGCTTAAAGGGCAGCAATAGAACCAGTCACCTTGGAAACAAACATCACCCAGTGTTTGCAGAACAAACAATGGTACCTTTTCAGCCAGTACCAGGCAGGCAGGGCAAGGGGCAGCCAAGCAATTCTGGGCTGTACAGGAGTGTTAACATATTGCATTCATTCAGCGCCCGAAAAAGTAGTTGAGTACTAAAAATGAAGTGCTCTCAAATGTGTGAACCTTTGGCTAGAAACCATACACAAAGTGAGTGAAGCTTAAAGTCAAATAAGGCTACCTCCCAGTTAGAATAAAATCTTTTCATTATTCTTGGTATTGTTTTACACACCTCATGAATGCGTAAGGTAAACTACGCTCTTGTCACTGAGGATTACCTTCTCCAGCAATTACAAATAAGTTGCTTTAAAAAAAGAAAAAAAGCATGTTTCATCTAATTACTCCTAGAAACCAGTATATTCATGTCATTTTTTAAAAAAAATAAGCCACCCTATATTGTTTTTTTAAATGTGTGTATTGCTTGGTGCCTTAACCCACTTGTGAATTTCTGGTATTGACAAAGAATGTAACTCTAAGTTAGAAAATTAAGTGTCTATTTTCAGAACACTTTTAAAACAGTACTAAACAGATACATAAATCTATAAGGGCCTTGGATAACAAGAACTACTTTTTGACCTTGGATAACAACCATCACTGAACTTTCATTTACTACACAAAAGCTCATCATTTTAGGTAGCTCAAGTTTTAGGGGAGATTCTGTTGTTACTGTTTTTAAAAAGCTCAACTGGATAGTTAATTAAAAAAATATTGAATCGTTCTTCAGACCCTTCAGAATGAAATTTTTAAATGTTCTATGTAAGTAACAGTTTCCTCCTTATTCTGGGTGTTTGCCGAAGTTTTCCTTCCCACCAATTAAGAGGAAAAACTGGGCCCAACTGAGTTATTTGGACAGGAGTTTGATGTCAGTTAAATACCACAGTAACTGGCATTTTTGTCACCTCCAGACTAAAGGACAAATGCCTAATTAACATGGACCAACATGCAGCTTAAACTGGAAAAGTGCCTGTCCTTTTTCTTTCTTTTCTTTTTTTCTGAAAGATTTAGGTCTTTAACATCCTTGAGTTAAAGTGCACAAAGGGTGTCTAATGCCATCTGACTGAGGTGTAAAAGTCTAATTAACTAATGCTTTTTGCAGCGACAGTAAATCAGTTAACATTATTAATCTTCCTGACTGGGCATAAGTGAGTGAGGAAGGCTATTGAAAAGGAGCTAAACGGTTAGACTGGGTACCCTTGAAAATGAAAAGGAACTCTGAAAGTGATGACTGATGACACTGAAAACTCAATACTTTAAAATCCAACCGCTGGGCCTAGCCTGGCTGAGCTACTCTGAAAGCTGAAGCTGCAGCTCCAGGGCAGGGAGAGGAAGAGGAGGAGTCAGGCGAAGGTGAAATGACTCTCATCTCCTATCCTTTCCTTCCAGCATCACCAAGAGAGATGAAAGCACAAGTGAGCCTTCCACACCTTAATTTAATACTGTACCTTTCCAAGTACTTTTTTTGTACACCAAACAAAAGTTGCTACCTGGAGTAGTCTGGGCAAATGACTCTAACAGTTTAGCCAATTAAGCTAGCTTCAATTCATCAGTAAAACAACAACTATCTCAGCATTTGGCTCCTTATTTTATTTACCTATGTATTCAGCACCCAAAAATGTAGCTGTGTATCATACTCATGTTAGCAAACCATAAACTTATCAAATGCATTCCCTGAACACTAACATCTGAAGAGAGAAAGCTAACACCAAACAACTTCTGAACCACATAGGTTGGTCTGTACTGAGACAATGTCAGTGACTGCAGTCAGCCCCTACACCCTCTTCTCTGGATTCCAACTCCCTATCCCTCTCTCTACACCCCATCCCAAAGGGCACCACCTCCCCTGACAGCCCTGGGTGTGTCCACTGGAACAGGGCACTCTCCAAGTTCCTCCCTGCTCACTGCTTCCTTCTGGGCCTTCCTGGGAAAGAAAGCCTGGAGAGAAGACTGCCCACCTCCTGACAGCAGTTGAATGTGACAAGTCAGCTCTGGGCTTTGGGAAAGGAATTCTCAGTGCTGAGCCACTGATCCAGAGGAGCAGCCAGATCCAGGGTGATAACCCTAACTGCAGCAGCTTCCTCCATCTTCTTGAAGAACATCTCAGTGGGGCAGAGCTAGGAAAGGAAGTGAAAGAGGGAGGCCAGGTGCCACGGTGGCTTTATCTTTTTACCCTCCTTAATATTTCTATCAAGTTTCTGTTTCACTGCCCCCTCAATGTGGGGGAATGTGAACCTACCTATGTGTACCTTTTTAATGAAATGCTGAGGGAAATACATGTTTGATTAAGGATAGGCTTCCACAAGCCACTTGATAATAAAGAACTCTTGAAAGCATCAGGCATCAAAACTCAATCCATTTTGAATAAAAATATTTATGCTTTGTTTCTAGATTTAAATATCTTTAGAGATCGTTATTCATTACTTTGTACACTATTATGGCTAAAAATCACCTTTTCTCTTGTTCACAAAGGTAGGTTCAGAGAAAACTTTATGTATGTATTCCTGTTTATTATATATTCACAACCCCTTCCTCAAATAATATCTCTTATAAAGAGCTTATTTATTTACTATTAATATTATCTCAATATTGCCTAGCTATTGGGACCTGCAACAAGCTACTGAAAGGGGAAAAATCCTAGCCAATTAACCAATTCTTCAAAACAAACCAAACTAAAATCCTTAAGATATACTTTATAACTCATTTCTACTTTTTGAGAAAACCATAATTACTGATAAAACAAAGGCAAAAGAGAAGGCGTAGATGGAGTTGCCTTTCAAATCAAACTTCTACTGGAATCGGAATTGTCAAATTGCTTTGGAATTCTTGAAATTATGTTTGGGTGTTTTTTTCCCTGGAAACCTCTATGAGGTCAGTATCTACCAAAAGTAATCATCGTCTCTAATCTGGACGTGGGGGTCTCACAGCTGAATTCACCAGTTGGAGGAGGTATTGGTCCCATTGTACAGCTGAGGTCTGGCATCTCTCTATTCATAGGCCACTTCTCTCACCAAGTCTACTACATAAAAGCAATTCTCCCTGCCTGTGTTGTAAAATCCAGTTTTAGTATTAGGAGAAACAACATGGTCTTTTCAGGCTACTGGCTTCCCAAACCCAACTCTTTCTTGGGCTCAGATGATCCGTACTTACTGTCTACCGGTTTTGCTAAAAACAAAAAACAATACAAACTGCAGATGATTCCCTAAAGCAACTGGAAAAGGCTATAAAATCTTAAAATAAAGATCACATTAAATGTTTTTGAAAATGTACAGACACTGCATAAAACTTAAACAATACCTGTTTCCAGCCCAACCCCGAGAAAAAGGTGGCACACATCGGGATGCTACTCCTGCAGACAATACAGGCACATCAGAAACGAAGCAGCACGTCTCCTACCCACATATTGGAGAGTTAAGCAGTACAAGAACTTTGTTGTCAGAACCCTAAGAATAGCAATAGAAGAGGCAGCACTGTTGAATAACCACAACAAAGCTACTATGACACTGCCCCCCACCCCGATTAAAAGAGGAAAATAGGACTATAGGCAAATGGAGATAAAGTTTCTAAGGAAGGTCTCACTCCACCAGCTGTTCATTTGGCTGCTACCCTGGATAAAGGCAGGTTTCAGGATACTTAGAATTTCCCTAGATTTATGGTACCATCCCTTTATATGGTACTTTCCAATAGCTTCTATCCTCACAAAGGTTTTTCTGTTTGCTTTTACTGATTAAAAAGAAAGAAAATGCTGCATATGGGCATCGCTATGTCATGTCCTAAGACTATGGCACAAGGAAGATAATCTGCCCATTTTAGAGATGGAAAAACCAAGGCACACAGTATTATCTTTTCATTAATCATAATCAAGGTTGGGTTTGGGCCCTTTGTCTCAAAGATAATAAATCCAGCCCTCTCTCTAATAGATTAATTAAAAGGGCCAAGGGAGATATGCATGGGGTATGCTGAAATGTTTCTGACAATCTGGCTGATTTAATTCACTTCGTCAATTCAACTCTTTCCTTTGAAAGGATGAGAAGAATGAGGAAGTATGAAGGGTCACTCTGGAAACTGTTCAGTACATGAACAGGTAGAAGAAAATGCATCTTCCTAACTTGTCATACAATAGCCTTTACTGCTGGAGTTAGAGAATTACACTTGCAGTTCAGACTTCAGAACTGATCCCATCTTTATTTTCCTTACATTAGGCCTTAGAGTTATTCATATGAAGGATCTGTCTTCCTCTGGAGCCAGGGCTCCCAGGGAGTCATTTCAAGGGATCCACTTACTCATCTGCTCATCATGCATATAAAAATCAAGTAAATTTACACATATGTATACTATTATTTTGCAAATGTATTAAGACACTGTAATTAACAGAATAAGTTTCACTAAAATATAATTATTGTATTATTATTATTATTTTTGAGACAGGGTCATGCTCTGGCTGCCCAGGATGGAGCGTGATAATGCAATCATAGCTCACTGAAGCCTTGAACTCCTGGGCTCAAGAGATCTTCCCACCTCAGCACCGAGTAGCTGGGACCACAGGCAAGCACCACTATGCTCTGTTTTTGTAAACACCGGGTCTCACTATGTTGCCCAGGTTGGTCTCAAACTCCTCACTAAAAAAATAATTAAAATCATACTCAGTCTGGAAAATTTTTTTACATTAAAAGGTCCTTATATTTGAAAAGATTGGGAATAAATCTTCAGAATGTCCAAATAACATGACATTGATTAAAGCAAAATTTCCAACAAAAATATAACCACAAATACATATCACACCATTCCTAACATTCACAACACCATGCCCTAAGTAAAATGACAAACACCTTCCTCTCAAGGTCTGACCCTCTAGAAGGACTTTTTTTTTATTTTATTTTTGAGACAGAGTCTCGCTTTGTTGCCCAGGCTAGAGTGAGTGCTATGGCGTCAGCCTAGCTCACAGCAACCTCAAACTCCTGGGTTCAAGCAATCCTGCTACCTTAGCTTCCCGAGTAGCTGGGACTACAGGCATGCGCCACCATGCCCAGCTAATTTTTTCTATATATATTAGTTGGCCAATTAATTTCTATTTATAGTAGAGACGGGGTCTTGCTTTGCTCAGGCTGGTTTCAAACTCCTGACCTCGAGCAATCCGCCCACCTCAGCCTCCCAGAGTGCTAGGATTACAGGCGTGAGCCACCACGCCCTACAAGGACTTTTCAAACTGCTTGATTTGTTTTTCATCAGCAACCCTCACTTGTTTGGGGGTAACTAAGATGACAGATCACACACTCTCCAAAAAATAAATACATTTTGTCAGTTCAGTACTTTCCTTTTTAAAATAAATCGATTTCTGATTAACTACATATTAATTTACAGTAAAAATTTTAATTCTAGTTTGGCTTCATTTAACCTGAAAGAATACCTTTCCCCTGCTCACAAAGTGAGAGCCAGTGAATGCAAAATAATTAAAACACTAGCCTATGGCCCTACCTCCTCAAATTATGGCACATCAAAATGTGATTTCATGTCAAAGAACATTTGAATATACCAAAAGACCTGTCATATCATATTAAATTCCTAACAGATACGGTATAATTTAAAGGCACGTACAAAAATGGGTTTATTGTCCACAATAAATCCCACTTTTTAAATATATGTGTGTATCCAAAGAAAACCATCTACAAGAGGATATATAGTAAAGTATCAACAATGGTTATCTCTGACTTGTGGGACTCAATAATTTTTGCAATATTAGATGTTTTTCCCGTTTAGTTCATTTAGAACTTCTCTATGGTGAATAGGAGTCATATGTGCAATGAAATAATAAAAAAAACCAACGGGAAAAATAATTTTTAATCCTTAGAATTATTTCATTTGAAATCCTGGGAGTCATAGGACAACAGGTTGTTTTGATTTTCTTCATATTCCTCCTATTATCTATAGTGAATAAAAACATTTAAAAAAATTTTTTTAAGAGGCAGAGTCTCTATATGTTGCCTAGGCTGGTCCCAAACTCCTGGGCTCAAGCAGTCTTCCTGCCTCAGGCCTCCCAAGTAGCTGGGACTGTAGGCATGTGCCACCGTGCCTGGCTAAGAACATTTTATAATGAGTAAAAAAAGCGTTTAAATAGTAGTGATTTTGATTTATTGGCCCTTGGTGGATTATTGATATAATCTACTCACTAACATCATAGCAGGAATAATTGTGGCTCTACCACACAAGTGTTCAGACAAGCCCATGAGGACAAAACTATAGGCTCCTGGTCTTGGCAGGGTGTGCTGACATCTGAGAGAATCTAGCATGCAAGACCAAGGTTCCACGCCCAGCCCTACCCTGTGTCTCTCCAGGCGTCATTATCCTCTCCTATAAATTAAGGGGGTGTGAGGAGAATAAATGAACCATGACCCCTGAGGCCCCTTCCAGTACAATACTCTATGAGTGTAAACAGAGAAAATGCAAATATGGTTAATCAAGTCTTGCCAGTTATAACCACTTGTCCAGGGTAGATCTGAACTGATTTCACTACTTTTACTACTTGTATCACGTGATGGATAGTATGGCAAAGACAGGAACATTAGGTTAATTAAATATGTTTTTTAAAGTTCTGTGGCTCATAAATTTTCAGCTTTATTAATCTGTGCGGCAACCCTACCCAAAATGAAGGCACATGCAGAAGAAAAGCTCCAACCACAACAAATATGCCACTTATTGAATGTTTACACTGCACCAGAGTCTGGGTAAGTATTTACAATGTTTTGTATCACACTCTGCAATCCCATGATATCAATCTGATTACTCTCATTTTACATGTGTAAAAAGGATCTGTGTGTAAAAGCAAAAGTTGTCTTCAAGGATGGTGTGTGCCTATGGGCAAGTAAGCCAACTGTCCTGCCTTAGTATCTCTACTGGCAAAATGGGTCACATAATCCCTGCCTCACTCATTCCTTGCACAAGTATTGACTGAGCACCCAGTATATTCATGGGATGCATCCGTGAATAAAATGTTTAAAAAGAACAAGAGAGGCTGGGTGTGGTGGCCTCAAGGCAGGAGGGTCATTTGAGCTCAGGAATTCGAGACCACCCTGAGCAAGACCAAGACCCTGTCTCTACTAAAAAAATAGAAATTAGCTGGACAATATATATATATAAAATTAGCCGGGCATGGTGGCACATGCCTGTAGTCCCAACTACTAGAGAGGATTGCCTGAGCCCAGGAGTTTGAGGTTGCTGTGAGCTAGGCCGACGTCATGGCACTCTAGCCCAGGCAACAGAATGAGACTATGTCTCAAAAAAAAAAAAAAAAAAAAAGAAAGAACAAGAGGTCCTCATGGAGCTTACACTCTAGTATGAGGAAGAAAAAAGATTTTTCTGGATGTTTTAGGCAGAAAATAGGCTTAAAACTTAGTGGGTACTTGATAAACATTAGCTTCCTAGGACTCTTCCCCCACTTAAAAATGGAAAAATCATTAGAACACAAATCTAAGATAATCCATCCGATTTGTCAGCCCAAACTAGAAATTTTTACTTAATAAACAAATACAGAAGAGCCAAGATTAAGAACACTTGTACTGGAGTCCGCTGGCCTGGGTTTGAATTCAGATGCCTTCACTTACTAGCTAGAGTGACATTAGACAAGTTTTTAAAACTCTCTAAGCTCAGCTTTCTCACCTGTAAATGGAAATAACAATGACCTCATAAGGTTGATGTAAAGATTAAATGAGATGAAGTACAGAAAGTGAGACGTGCAATGCCTCCTACATATCAAAGGTAACTGGAAAGACTAGGGTGATCTGCCCAAACACCACCATCCATATCTGCAAAATGAGGATAATTATATCGATTTGATAGGATTATTGTGAGGACTATGGAGAAAATGCAGAGAGAGGGTTTAATGTGACTGGCATATGATGGTACATATTTGCCGCTTAAAAATGAATATTAACAAAAGTGACTGTGGCGGGGAGGGGTGCAGGCATGGTGTCTTTCCCTAGCAGACTGTTTGGAAAAGCCATCCCGGGGAAGAGTGGTGGTGTGCTCCCAAGACCAGGCGCCATGCAGAGGCTGTCCGGCAGAGTTTGCCCACACAGTAGGATCAGATGCAGGTGGTTGTGAAATGACAAATGCTACCAAATCTGAGTCACCCGGGGTGACGTCCAGAGTGTGTGGATTATGTCGGCCCTGGCTCCAGTTGCCTCGCTTTCAGGCCCTTCCAGCTTTATCAGAGGACTGAAAGAGCAAAGGAGAGGAATGGAAAGGGATTTAACTACTGCTTTGCAGGTTTTTAGAGGAAGGAGTGTTGGCTGTGT